GTAAAGACGAGGATCATATTCCTGAGGAAATCCCTACTAAAGAAGGTTCATATACCATGGCAGAGGTTAAAAATTTCTTACTTGAAAGGAGAAAATTAATAAGTTCTCCTACTACTATTCAATGATTTAAAAAAGGAGATTGATAATCTCAAAGAGGATATTGGTAAGCTAAAAGAAAAAAATGTGGTTATAGAGGTTAGACTGGATGCTATCCAAACCCGTCAGGATTTAGAAAATGTTTCTGAATCAGCGTCCTCTATTGAAGGAGAAAATAATAGTCTTGATTTTATGAAAAATCTTTGTTTAAAAAATTATAAATCAGACTTTTTATACAATCTTAAAGCTTTTACTTCACAAAAGTTTTATACTAAAATTACTCTTCTAATAGACTATAATTATAAAAAGGAATTTATTGCTCTTATTGATAGTGCAGCTGATTTAAATTGTATTCAAGAAGGACTTATACCTTCAAGATATTTTCATAAAACTACTCGTACTCTTCGTTCTACTAATGGTAGCAAAATGAATATTGAATTTAAATTACCCAAAGCTTTTATTCGTAAAGGGAAAAATTGTGTTCCTCAAAGTTTGTTTTAGTAAAAAACATCACCAATAAAATTATTTTGGGTGCTCCTTTTATAAATGATATTTTCCCACTTACTTATTGGGATAATAATAAAATTATTGGTAATTGGAACAATAAACCTTTTATACTTGAATTTGTAACTACACCATTTACTAGAATGATAAATGATTTAACTAAAAAATTAATTTCAAAAAATAATCAAGTTAATTTTATAAAACAAGAAATTAGTAGTATTGACGTTGATCATATTCTACAAAATCCTAAATTACAGGAAAGGATTGCTATCTTATCTAATCAGTTCTCTCTTGATATTTGCGGAGATCACCCTAATGCTTTTTGAAGCAGGAAAAAGCCTATAGTCAGTCTTCTTTATGAGGATGACTTTGATGAGAATAATATTCCAACCAAGGCAAGGCCTTGTCAGATAACTCAGAATATTTAGAGTTATGCGAAAAGGAAATAAGTTAGCCTTTTGGTTAAAAAACGTGTAACACCCCAACTTTTTGAAACGTCTAAAATTACTCGTATCTCCACGGAAAGACAAGGAGGGTGGGTAATAAATTTAGAATGATGTGGTATGTCCTAATTTAAGTGTTCAAGTGTTGCATCTCATGTTTTGAAGTTAGGTAAGTGGCAAAATAAAAGTTGGCGGAAGTTATCGTAAGTTCCTTCTTAAAGATTTCTCTGAAATTTGGGTCAAATGTTTTGGAGGTTTTCTCCCAATCTATAAAGAGTTATGGGGTCCACAAACTATCGAATCGAAGGTCTACGAGTCTAGTTTCCAACGCATCAAA